TATGTGACATTCCCCACATTTAGAGGAGATGATTTGCGGAAACCTGAGAAGATAGCCAGGAATCTCTCCACTGACGTAGACTCCAGTTACTTCTCTGTAGGATTGATGTAGAATATTTGGTCACGGGTAAGCGCTCCGTCCGTGGTGTGGCCCCAAACATCACTCTCCGTCATGCCCTAAAATGAAAATCAGATTTTTTGCATTTCCAGATGAACTCGCAGACCTGAGATGTGCCCCATTAGATTCCCCGTGAAAAATGCTATCGAATGATATGCATTACTTCCCCAGTTGAAACTTTGGTTTTTCACCGTTTTCAGCCTTCCCCTATTGCCGATTGGGCATCATTATTCCACGATTACTGCCCCAAAATCTCAAAGTTTCATTTTTCGTCGAAACTTTGCCTATTGGGGTAATTCGATGCCCTGATTACGAATATGACATTCATTCTCGTAGTGGGGCCCCAAACATCACACCTCGCCCCATTTTTTGCGACATGTTCCATGTTTAGAGCAGATGTTATGTAGAAAGCTGTGAAGGCAGCGACGAATTTCCTTACTGCGTAGACTACGGTTACTTGTCTGTAGGAATTACATAGAAACCTTGGTGGCAGGTGAGTCTTCCTTCCGTAGTGTGACCCCAAACATCACACCTCGTCATGCCCTTGCGATATGATCAGATTTTTTTGGTTCTCCAGATGAACATAGAAGACTGAGATGTGCACCATTCAATTCCCCATAAAAATACTGTCGAACGGTATACAACTCACTTTCTGGAGAACATCTAGTTTACCTGCCACTAGATCCATTTTGTGACATTTCCCAATTTTCGAAGGGATGTTTTGAGGAAATTCGAGAAGGGAGGGACGAACTCTCTTCCCTATCGTAGAGTAAGTTTACTTGTATGTTGGAAAAAGATGATACACTCGGGCTTGAGCGAGTGTTTCTTCCCTGGTGTGGCCTCAAACATCGCTCTCCGTCATGCCCTGAAATAAAAACCAGATTTTTTGGTCTTCCAGGTGGCTCTACGGAGCTGTGGTGTACACCATTCGATTCTCCATGCAAAATGCTATCGAACGATATACATCTCAGTTTCCCACTTGAAACTTTCGTTTTTCACCGTTTTCGGCCTTTTCCTTATCGCCGATCGCCTTCCTCAGCCCTGGCCACCCACGTGCTATTCACGTGCGCGGTGCGTGAGAGCTCACGTGACAGCCGATGGCCTTTCTCGGTAGCTGGCGGGCAGCCCGATCGATACACCGCTATGCGTGTCGAAAGTGCGTGGGAAAGTCACCAAACCGCACCTGATCATATCGCAAGGGCATGACGAGGTGTGATGTTTGGGGTCGCACTACGGAAGGAAGACTCACCTGCCACCAAGGTTTCTATGTAATTCCTACAGACAAGTAACCGTAGTCTACGACAGTAAAGGAAATTCGTCGCTGCCTTCACAGCTTTCTACATAACATCTGCTCTAAACATGGAACATGTCGCAAAAAATGGGGCGAGGTGTGATGTTTGGGGCCACACTACGAGAATGAATGTCATATTCGTAATCAGGGCATCGAATTACCCCAATAGGCAAAGTTTCGACGAAAAATGAAACTTTGAGATTTTGGGGCAGTAATAGTGGAATAATGATGCCCAATCGGCAATAGGGGAAGGCTGAAAACGGTGAAAAACCAAAGTTTCAACTGGGGAAGTAATGCATATCATTCGATAGCATTTTTCACGGGGAAGCTAACGGGGCACATTTCAGGTCTGCGAGTTCATCTGGAAATGCAAAAAATCTGATTTTTCCACAAGGGCATGACGGAGAGTGATGTTTGGGGCCACACCACGGACGGAGCGCTTACCCGTGACCAAATATTCTACCTCTTTCCTACAGACAAGTGACCGGAGTCCACGTCGGTGGAGAGAATTTCTCGCTAAATCGCACGTGGCGCCAAGGGCTGGGAGGACGATCGGCAATGGGGAGCAAAAAAGTGAGAAAAACAAAGTTTTGTGTGAAACCTGAGTTGTACACCATTCGGTAGTATTTTTCATGGGAAATCGAACGGTGCACCCCTCAGCTCTGTAGAGTCATCTGGAAGAGCAAAAACTCTGATTTTCATTTTAGGGCATGACGGAGAGTGATGTTTGGGGCCACACCACGGACGGAGCGCTTACCCGTGACCAAATATTCTACATCAATCTTACAGAGAAGTAACTGGAGTCTACGTCTGTGGAGAGATTCCTGGCTATCTTCTCAGGTTTCCGCAAATCATCTCCTCTAAATGTGGGGAATGTCACATAATAGGTCTACTACTACTGCTGGAAACTGTTCGAAGATTCTCATTTGGAGTGGAAGAATGGGTTGATCAGCGCACGGTTAGCCAATTAGCGCTCTAAAACGAATTAAAGATCGTGAAATTCGAAAAAAAAACATTCATTCAATCTCACCATATGGTGGACCGGTTGGGTACGTGGCGTATTCTGAGGGTGTTGAGATCCATGTTTCTGTGGGATGATCAGGCTGCATAGGAGGACTTATATGCGCATCACATACAAAGTATATTCATTACTTCTCGGGATGGAGGTCGAGTGCATGGCGCAATCCTAGATGGAGCTCTTTCAGAAATTGAATTTAACCATCTTGTAGATCTCGAGCAGAGCTATCAGATGGTATAAACTGCAGGTCGAGCGAACCATTTTTTAAAGAGTTATGGCGAGCCGACGGTTTGCGACGGTTTCCGACCGTCGCAAACCGTCGATTGAACAAAAATTAGTAGCGGTATTGTACTATTACAAATATACAAACTTGAAACATGAAAAGTAGGAATTCCAAATAGCCTAACAATTCCTGCCACTGCTACCTTAAAATCAGCCTTGAGCTCTTTTTGTGCAAGTGATCACTACATCCACTCCTCTCAGCGGATTCAGTAGCCAAAAAAGGTAATCTTCATCCTTTTTGTGTGAGAAAGTGATGATTGGTCGAGGCCGGACCGAGACGAGACTGGCAATCATCAAATTGCTTGTTTTTCCTCCTTGGTGTTAAAAAGGTGTTGGTTGGCATAAAAAACGTAAAATTCCACGGAAATAAAGCAATCTGCATTACTTTTTCCTGAATTTTGGTGGACCGATCGACGAATTGCACGTATAGCCGCCTCCTAATCGAAACTGCGATGGATATCAGTCCTGATCTCTTTGTCATACACCATCGAATTTGATTAATATCGAACTTTTTCTCGTTCATGTTCAGCTGTGCAGCCTTCTTAAGCGCATTCTTCTTCTAACTGGATACTTACAGTAGCTTCTGCAACACAACCCAAACGGTCGTTCTTAGTGATCTTGCCAACTATTTTCCAACTGCTCCATCGCGTCAGTATGCGTGCCTGTTCGTGTAGATTGTTGGAAAAATGCAACAAATACCTCTTTAAAATACAATTCGTACAAATTGTATCATTTTTGAAGACTTCTAAATCCAATCCAATTTAGTGTGCCGATTATCGCACATGTTGAAGCAGTTTTCGATTTTTCGTATCCTAATGAAACGATCTGATTCTGAGTGTTCACCTGCAGAGTACCAATCATAGGCTTTCATTGCTGCCTATGGAAAAAAAAATGCAAGCACCTCCCAGAAAAGGTGATAGCAAGTGATAATCTGAACACGCTTTATTGGCTCAATGATCTTAGCTGTACAAATGTAGCCGATGCTTTGCATCAATCCCTCTCGACCAAATTTATAATTTGAATTAGTTTAGCAAAATTAGCTGATCACAAAATTTTCAGACGTCACTGAAGCACGAAAACTTTGGAGCTGTTCCTGAAAATTCCTAATTTAGACATTGAGTTCTTCATGGCCTACAAGTGACCTTTTGATTTTTGATGAAAGTGCATCATGGAAGCGATAGATTGTAGCCGAACTAATGACGTCGAAGCGGAATCCTACTTAAAAACATCCATTACTTAAATATCTCTAATAATATGGGACTATCCAAACTAGTACTATGACCTTACTGAAGAAAGGGACTTGAAGCCGTTTGCCTTGGGCGTCCATCGATCAGTGCATTCTTGGTGTTCCATGAGCGATTCTCCACTAATCTTGTCCGATAGTCTCTAATTTTTCGAGTGGAACGACCTTAGGAAGAATAGATTTTGAATTACTTTGCTTTCAGTTTAAGGCGTCACCATCAATCTGTTGACAGTTGCCCTCATCACTGAAATTGGCATTCTTAAGGGTCGATCCGCAGCGCAAAGTCCCTCCTCCAACAACCCAGGAAGCTGAAATTATTAGGTATTGTGCTTCTGCTATCAGAAATCCCGAATCGTTCAATTGAACAAATGGTGATCTAATGTGGCTTGTGGATTAGTTAGCACACTGCGCCAGAGTAGCGGACAGCTTCCCTCTTCACGAGCCCGGAATCAACGAGCAGCCTCGGAACCGGCGGAGTCAAGTCGGAAATTTCTAATAACTCCTGACTGTGGGAAAAGCGGGTCCTCAACGGTTTCCTTGGAGTGTCAGCGAGGAGACGAAGAGAACGACTTTATTAAGGCCGGCCAATAGCAAACCTGCAGACAACGACAACTCAATGAATAAATTACAAATTGCATAAAATTACAAAATTACAGTACTGTTACTGTTGGCCAACCGTGAGGCTTTTATGGGACAGTCAAGGGCCTAGTGGGGTCCGTAATAACCACGACGTGCTCCACGTCCTCTTCCCCGTTGATATTTGCCTCGGGGCGCGCTCGATGTTGATGGTAAGATCCATTGGGGTATTGAAGAATCGGAAGTTGGGCGGACACATTTGTGACGCTACTATCATCGGTCTAGATTGCATCCTGCAGTGAATATTCCTAAATGACGTGAAGCGCTTCGATTCTCTTTTGAAACTTCCAGTGATTTGCTTCTTTTGCTTGAAATAGAGACGTGTTCGAGAGGGGCGGCTCTTTGCAGCGGCTTCCAATGGAGGTAGGTATCTCTGCCTTGATATATGTCCCCAGCGCATCGCAGTAATCTATTTATAACCTCTCTTGAGTATGGTTCTGTTGTGGAATTCCTTGAAAGAGCGCCGGGACCATGCGAGGGTTCTTGCGAGGACTCGATTGCTGAATAAGACTGCATAGTTCTTGCTTCATTAGGACTGCGGCAGACTTGGCAAGATTGATGGTGTCATTCATGTCAGCTCTGTTCAGCCTGTACGACCTCCGTTGGGAGGAGCAACAGCAACAACTTTCATATCCGTACGAGCTGCTGAGTCGCGGGAGATCAATCCAAGCGGGATTATATCGACACCTTCCGTCGTAGCTCTTCCAAGCAACATTATGAACTTTCGCATGACGCCGCTTGTTTATTTTTGATGTGGTTGCTCTTGGCTGGCCTTCTACCTTGGCTACAGTTGCATTTGCCCTGCTGGTCATTTGCGCACTTTTTGCTTCAGAATTCTTCAACAGCCTTAGGTTTGAACAACTCCAGAGCATTGGTACCAAAATCACCACCTCGTCTGGACTTCTTCCTACAAAGACTGATACCACTTCTACTTGGTCTTCTGATTTAACCTCTATCCGGATTGTGTCTAGGAATTCTATTATGTCCCCGGAAGCGTCTCGTACTTTAGTATTTGGTCCTGGTATGCGCTCAATGTATTCATCCTAAACATTTCTATCCATCGTTTTCTTCAGCAATTTCACTAGAACAAATTTGTTAGTTGTTTGGGAACTGGTATCCAAAAGCGCCGTTGCTTCGATTTCTTATAGCGTAATACCTACAAATGGCTTCTCTCCGAAACCACTCACATGTTTTCCAATCGGGCTCTCACCTCGAAGTGCACACCCACTTTTCCACCAGGGAGGCTTAGTTTGCGTCAGGCCTTTTGTTGTGCATTCACCGTTGTTGGGGTGCCTTGTTGCAGACCAGGTCTATCACGACAATCTTTGGCCAAATGCCCCATGATACCACACCTATAGCGCCTTGGTGGACCTCGCTCTCGTTTTTCCTTCGGAACAAGTGGTGCGCTTTCTAGCATGCCTCCTGACTTTGGTCTGTCACCACCACGTCTGTCAAAAGTGCGGGGTCCGTACCTGAACTCGCTTCTCCTTTCATCTAATGGTCCGTATTTTTCGACTGTTTTTAGGCTTCTCTCTAATCTCAAGGCTGCCTCCTTTACTTTTCACTTTTCATAAGCCTCTTCACAATTACTGCTAGTTTCTGAGGCCTCAGTAAGGCAGTAGCTTCCATCCCAGTTAGCTAGCTGCCTACATAGAATCTCGGCCTTCTGCAACGAAGTTGCTTCAGCGGGCATGTCGGGTACGCTCTATTTGCCAGGCTCTCTAAGGCAAAACAGAAGTTCGCTGAGCGGCTGTCCGGGTCTCATCGCTAGTAAGCGCAGGTCAGCTAGGGCTTTAACACGCTGAGTATTTCTATCTATGCGCATTATAACCTTCATTGCTTCGATGATCCCTATCGTATGTACCTTCCCGTACATCTCTTGGCAGTGTCTCGAATACCGTAGACGCATTATTTCTGAGAAACTTTGAAATAGTTGTACTCTGTTAGAATCTTTCCACTGATCCCTGGGATACTTCATGTTAAAGGAATTCACAAATCTTCTGAAGCATTCGCATTGCCTACCAGAGAAAGGCTGCACTTCTGGTAAGGACATTGTGTGGATATAATCACTCAGTGAAAACTCAGTAGTACTAGCTGGTGACGACGATTGTGCCATTCTTTGACATGCTCCGCAGCCGTCTCTCTGCATAATCTAGCAGCACGGCCCGAGGCGATGGCATCCAGCTCCATGAAGTACTCCTCTGTAACGACTGGTCGCTTGAATGATGTGCTTCTATCAAACCATTCTGCCTTGATGACCCAGACTCGCTTTGAGCTGCACCGTTGCTATAATCATTATCCGCGAGGGCATTCGCCTTTTTCTGCTGCCCTAACCCCTCGAACTCTTGGCGCAATTGCTCGATCTGTGAGTCTTTTTGAATCAACTGCAGTCGAAGCTCGTCGCGTGTCTTCTTTTCTACAGTGAAGCCTGCTAACAACCTCCGTACTCTCATAATTTCTTCTGGCAGTGCAGGATTCCGCACACCTCTTCCATCACCTTAGTCATTGCCGCACCTTTACTCATGTGCTCCTGCAGCTGACTTACACTGTTAACTTTCCCTTCTCTTAGAAGCTCAAAAACGTGTTCTGCTACTTTAGGTCTACCAAGCTCCTTTATTTTAGCGAGTGTCGCCTTTGCGATTTCTTTTACTAATGCCGCTTGCTCACTTACTAACGCTACAACATCTCTTCTAGGGTCGTCTGTGCGCATCGATTTTGCCAGCTCATTGTCACAGGTGACACCATTAGTAGTCACATGGCTTAGCAACTTATTTGATAGCCTTTCGAAATCTTTCAAGAAAATGTCACATAAATTTTCGTCCAGCATCTCTTCATCCTCGACAAAGGTTCGGAGTAGTTCTTCCTTGTTTGAATGCGCCATAGTCACCAGCAGATCTTGGCTTCTTCTATTATGGCACGATTCTCGACGAAAAACGACGATATGTCTTTCACCGCTTTCCCTATCGAACATCACGATTACCAGAGATCGTAGTTGGATGAGAGAAAAGGCGTTTCTAGAAGTGAACTCACGCAATCGAGGAAGGAATGAACCACGCTCGCAAATAGCGGTTCGTAGCAGTCACCTCCTATCACTGCTTATAATGTCCAAGTCACAATTATACCACCGGAGCTGGCAGCTAACTCTACACTCACTCGCAGCCCACGAATGTAGTGCCTGGTCGGGATTCGATACTATCAATCGAATCCTGACTAGTAGCAACGTCGAAGTCGCGGCTTACACCGGAGTTCGACACTCACTACTCTACTCGATCGAAAGTCACGAATGTAATATCCAGTCGGAGTTCGATCCTTATTTCTACGATCAATCGACTCTTTTACTCCAGATCCACTTGTCGAAGTCACGGCTTACACCGGAGTTCGACACTGGAACTGCACTCGATCAAAAACCACGACTATAAGCTAGTCGGAGTTAGATCTAGCTCTCACCAACGATCCCCACTCCTAGCTCACGCCCTTGCTCCAAGTTGGCTCGGCCCCCAAGTAGCGGAAGGCTTCCCCTCTTCACGAGCCCCGAATCAACGAGCAGCCTCGGAACCGGCAGGTCAAGTCGGGAATTTCTAATAACTCCTGACTTGTGGGGAAAGCGGGTCCTAAACGGTTTCCTTGGAGTGTCAGTGAGGAGACGAAGAGAAAGACTTTATTAAGGGCAGCGAATACACAAAGAACCTTATTAAGGGCAGCGAATACACAAAGAACCTTATTAAGGGCAGCGAATACACAAAGAAACTCCCGTACGTACGAGAGTATAGGCAGCGGCAGAATAATCAGAAGAGAAGTGACTAGTACTGTCTGGAGGGGGGGGGGTATATTTTTAAGAGGGGGGCCCGCTCAAATGGCATATTAGGTACGAGTGTGTGTATGTCAAGGAAGGTCCAGGTGGACCACGCAATTTTTGGTCAGCCTTACTCCGCTCTTCTATACAGTGTCGTCCCGTTGGCGACGACGGAATAGAAACAAATCTGTAAAAGAGTGTATTACCCGATCGGCCAACTGATATGAAAGGTCTACATGAAAGTAATCAATGAATGGACGAGCCTTTCTAAGCATATATGCAAGTAGGGTAGTCCACAGACACAAGTAAGCGCCAATATGGAATGCACTGCTGCTTATGCTACTTGCCATTTAATGTACTTTAAGGATGTCCAGGTACAGTAGAAAATGACCATGGGTGAGCTAAAGGAGTAGTAAACACCATTAAATCCAATATTTGTCTGTTGTTAGGGATACTGCTGAACGTTTTTGTTTTTGAAAGTTGTTGTGCAACACCTAGCAACCAAAGCTCTCTACTCGGTTGTTCTAACCATCGTTTTTCCTCTTTCTCTGCCGATTTCTCCTTGAGCATTCCTCTGTTTTCAAGTGGTAACCTTCCAAAAGTCGTCTGTCCATGCTGCTTAGCAAACCTTCTGGAAATTTTCTGGAAGCAGAAAAGCTTTCCAACAATGTTTTCTCTATTTTGTAGACATACACTGGTGTGCAAAACTTAAGGAGATGGATAAATTGACAAAACTTATTAACAATTCTATAGAATTGGATGAAAGCTGCGAGCATAATGCTAAAAGTCTTACAGTCATGGAAATTCATTCGCATTCTATTTTAGCCTTAAATCACTCGCTTGAGACTCTCACTCTTAGTCTTTCCAACGTCACAAAGCTTCATCATCAGTCTCGGCTTGGTTCAATCCCTTCTTGTTCGCATGTAAAGAAAAAAAAAGCATAACAGAACTAAAGGCAAAACCATACGGATAGTGAAATATATGGCACAAAAGTATTTTTGAAGTAGATTTTTTGAGTTAAACTTAACAGTAACCAGAAAAGTTTTACTCACAATTAGCAAAACCACGTCAAAAATATAATACTTCAGTCTTTCATCATAGAGAAATCGCGAAACAAACTGAACCATGGCCAACTTTTTTGTGGTAGATGGAAACTGCCCGTATTGAATTGGGCTACGCAACATGGCATTTCTGAACCTCAGCATCGACTTTCGATACCGGCTCTTGATAAGAAAACTGGTACCTCGATCTTTGCTCTGTCCAACGCGCTGGGACAGTTTATGTCTATTATCCGAGTTTGAGAAGTTGAATTCAGGTCCTTCCGAGTAACATGACAAATGATTACCCCACCTCGCACTTTGTTCCATGCTCCCATTCGGCCCGGCCTGAGGTACGTGGACTGCGCACAAAGCGTGGTTTTCGATGGTTCGTTTTCTTCTGAAATTGAGTTGTTATGCATAGGATTCTGTAAATCAGAGATGAAAAATGACGCATTGATAGAGAAAGGAGTACAGCATTATTTCGTGCACACTCCCATGGATCAAATTAATTGATAATTAATGATATATATCATTGTTGAACAAATGCTTCCCATTCGGTGTTTCTGTTCAGGTGCCGCGTCAGACAACGATGAGTAAATATTGGTTATTCCTCTTACTAATTGTATCAGTGCATTTATATTTATGGAGGTTGGTAGGCATTCAATATTTGAATAAGCCTGGAGAGATCAAGTATGTTGGATTTCGCTTGAACACTGGACGATTTGGCAATCAGGTAAAAAAATGTTATTATTCCCCTGGTTGTGTAATTGAAAAACTGCAGCATATTTACCGGATTGCCAAATTTCGCTTACCATTAGACGGAACTCTTGATTCTAAAAACATTCGCTCAAATGGAATGTGAATTGTAGGGTTGACTGTTCCGATATGTAGAAATTTTTACGTGTGTGTGTGGAGTTGTCTTGGTAAAGAAAAAAAGAGGTTATCGTTCCTACATTGTCAATACGTGCCTGGAGACTTTTGTGTGGGAATTTAATGAGCGGTTTCCAGCAATTTTAACAATACTTATCTGAATTTCTGACCAAAACTCTTCGTTGGAACTGGATCAAGATTTCAAACTTGCCTAGAACTTTACCAACTCTGGCAGTTTGAACCTCTGTGCACCATTGTCGTCCTTGGTTAGCACAAAACGCCCGGCAGGTGCGGTTCGGATGCTAAGGACAATCGAGCTAAATGGTACAAGCTCTTGATTGTAGCCAAACCATACTTTAGGAGCAAGCATTTATGATGTGTCTAAAAATTGAGAGCACGTTATTGGAAAGGAACAAAAGAGCAGTGCAAGGACGCCATAGATTCAATTCTGTGAAGCTATCGTTACAACTCTTCTTCAAGCCATTCATTCTTCATTCCAGAGAATCTTCATGTCGATTTCGAAACAATACTAGGGCTGAGCCGCCCCAAAACGCGTACAGGAGTACCCTCGATTCTATTCCATTTACCAGTTGTGGACTAAAATTCTGCAGTTCCAGATTAGCGATTGTGAATTTTCTTTCGCACTAGTAGCGGATAAACTCCATAGTGGGTATTAGCAACTGCATCAGTCCTGGATTTTTTGTAGTGGCCTATTGGTCTTTCCATCGTTCCATGATTATAAGAAAGAAAAAAAATTGAACGATTCCCCATGATAATCAACCCATAATGTGGCAGAATTCTCGGATCTTATCGTGCCCTCGACTTCCAATTTCTCCTGTCATCCGGGGAGTTCAAGATTGCTGAATCTGGAAATGCAGAACTTAGTTCACAATTATCAAATGCAATGGATTTAAGGGTACCTGGAACTGCCGTAAATATGTGTACGAACTACTGCATTTTGGGAACGTCTCGCGGTGGTCTTCTAAAGCA